AGCAATGGCATCTACTCTAGAGGAAATTGAAAAATATGTAACTAAAGATAACGCTTCACCGAATATTACTGATATTTTCAAAGCTCCTGAGATAGACCCTAAATCACTTCAGGAACCACCTAATAATAAAGATAATGATTTACGTGGAAGTGATTCATATGGAAATGGAAAAGTTTCAAGAAAATTTTATCAAGGCGGTATACAAGTTGCATGCAAAAAATTTGAATTTTTTCAAAATAATAAATTACAAAAATTACAACAAACTGAATTAAGTATTTTAAGTAAATTATCTGCATGCCAAAATATCATAAAGTTTTATGGTATTTCACGTATAGAAAATTATAAAGTATTGGTTTTTGAGTGGATGGAAAATGGTAATTTAAAAGATCTTTACACAAACTTCGAAATAGATTGGGAATGGAAGTTACGAATAGTTTGTGATATTTGCAATGGTCTCGCATTTTTACATAGCTGTGAATATCTTCACCATGATATCCGTTGTGAAAATATTCTTGTATGCACGATTTTTACTATTTTGTTTTATTTTTAATTTTTTCGAATTTTAATTGATTGCTTTTTTCCAATTCTTAGATCACTGATGTTATGGTTGCAAAAATTTCAAATTTCAAAACAAGTCGTAGAGATGATCAAGCAACCGAGCGACTATTTAATCCTGCAACTGTAAATTGGTTAGCTCCTGAAAAAATGCCTTATGGAAAAAACTCTGAAGATTTACAGGTAAGTATACCGGTATTTATTATTTTGAACTATCTAATGTTTTGTCTCATAATAATATTATATTTGATACTATAGCTTTGGAATGCTTCTTTGGGAATTGGCTTTTGAACAAGTTCCTTATAAAAACATGAATCCGATACAAATTCAAGAACATGTACAAAATGGAAAAAGAGAAAATCTTAATTTTGGCGAACGGATAAATCAAATTCAAAAAACATTTAAGGATCTTATTAAACTAGGTATTTTATCTTTGTCACTAATTCATTCATTCATT